AAAAAGAAGAAGAAGAGAGAGAGAGAGAGAGAGGAGGGAAAAAAAAAAGATTTTTCAGCTTTGCAGCCCGATATTAAAGGCCGCTTTTAGCAGAAGTAATGAATTTTAACGGTAGATGAGCCCCCATGGCTGTTCGGCTGTACGCTGCCGCATACCCGACGTAAGAAATTGCTCCCGCGAAATTATTTCCTTTATAAATCAGCGGCCATACGTTTCGACGTCATCCCATCTTACTTCGCATACCATTCTCCACCCTCCAACTGCCGCCTCTTTCGCCTTCTTCTTCTTCCTCCTCCTCTTCCCTCTTCTTTGTGTATCTATATACACAAGTACGAAATGGGATGTCTCCATCCCATCCGCCGAACGGAGTCAAGAGAAATGGTCAAGGTTTATTAACAATAATACGTTATCGGTTGAAAAATTGCAACGTTGTTTCGAGAACAATTGCACCATGCTACACGATGGTAATCCGCAAAAACGAGAAGAAGAAGAAGAAGAAGAAGAAGAAGAAGGAAAAGTATTACGACTGCTTTATCGCGACTGGGAAATTTAGTTTTTCGTCTCGTTGAGGAATCCAATGTTTGGCAAGTGAGGTAAAAATCCGTCGAGACGTTTGTCTCTCGCGAAACGTATTACGGAATGTTACGTTTCGTGATATTAATAATAAAGCCGATATTTCTTAATTTCCGAAGAAGAAATAAAGCATCCGTGGAATAATAATAAAATTCTCCACCGTTCGTTCCCTCTCTGGTTTTAAAACGAAACATCAAACGGAGGATGGTCGATTTCACCGTACGAGAACGTTTGGTAACGCGCCAACGTTGGCGGATAAGAAATATTATACACCTATCATCGACTGAGTCGCGACGGTCGCCTTCGAGGTGTAAGAAGTTCAGATAGAACAAAAGAGGGCGATTGTTTGACAATCCCTGTAAGAGAATATTTGTAAGCGACGACGATGAGGTTCCATCGAGCGAACCATCATCCAGCGAAGTGGTGAATCTTTTCGAGAGTCGAGGACACGGAGAGAGAGAGAGAGAGAGAGAGACGGGCGTCCGGTATGAGGCTTGATTTGGTACCGGAATAGCGATGGTGGGGATGTAGTAATTTGTCGGCTTGGGAAGGCGGCTGGCTCCAAGCTGATAACAGGGGGTGGTCCATTCTCCTCTGATTCCGCCACCCTCCGTTTCTCCTCGCCCTCCCATTCCTCCACCTTCTCCTCTACCACCTCTGCAACCCCTCCCTGTGTCTGTTCCACTTGCCAACCCATGGAGACGTCCGCGTAAGACGTCCAGTCCGCTCGCAACGTCTCAACGAATATGTGTACGAGAGGGCAGACAAGACGACAATATCGGAGGCGAGGAACGAGACGAGGCGAGGGAGATTTTCCATAATCGAGCGACCGTTTACGACTCGCGCCAACTTTCTAGCCTCTACGATCTCTAGCCTAGCTTACCTCCTCCCCTCCGTAGGGCCGCGATAAAAGTAATTTCTACCCTCTGATCCCGTAATAATGTCGCGGCTCGCCGATACTGCGAGTCGATTAGCGGCAAAGGTGGAGGTGATCGTGCGGAGGGAGGAAATGGGAAAGGGAAGGGAAAGCGAGAACGAACGGAGAAACGTAATTCGACGTTGTAATTCGATGGAACGATTGGAACGAGGCGAAGCTTGCCACGAGGAATAACGGGAAGGGGTGTGTAAACGGGGCGAAATAAATCGAAGTTGCGGTACCGCCTTCTATTCAAGGCTTCTTGCGCGCCCGGCCCGGAATTATTTCGATCGGGACAAACGGAGCGTGTAACAAGAGTAACCTTAATTCCGGAGGAATCCACTTCGGTGGAGTTGAAATTCTTGAGCTGGCTGATTGGCGAACAAAGTTACCTTTCTAATCTCGTTTCGAAACCAAAGGGGGGGACCCCCGAATTTATTCCGCCACACACTGTGCACGCGTCTCGACATCACCGCTGGCAAATTTCTAATTACCACGGGTTTCGAATTCGCGATCATCGAGTTGCGTTTTAATGCTATTTTCTTTTTTTTATCCTTTTATTCCCGACGAATACGATCTTCTCTCGATCGATCGAGGAAAAGATCGTCTTCGTGAATTTACCGATATCCTCTCAACCGTTGTCCCCATTGAATTACGAAGACTCCCCGCTTAGAGACTCCGTAATAGAGCGACTCGACCATCCTCACTTTTAAAATTCCAAGGCGCCGGACAAGAGGGTATACGAGCAACGGAGCCTCGATGTAAAATTTCATAAGAGCCCCGGGAAGAGGCAGTTTCGAGGAGGTATGGACCGCTTAACACCGACGAGGGTACGCGGCTCTAAGAGTTAGTATCTTTAATATGTCTGACGTATGCAGCAGTTAAATTAAAGCTCGCCGAAAGCTCTCACCTTGTTTCAGCCCTGCACGTTAACTCCGGGAGCCCCCACGGTAATATCGCACATACCAAAACCCGTGTTGCCTCCACTTTCCTCCGTTGTTTTATTCGAGCTAACTACTTCAACCGTGCTTTCAACCACAACAAATTCTTTCTTTTTTTTTTTTCTTTTTTTTTCCCCCTCTCCTCTCCTCCTTCTCTCTTCCACGCGTTTTTTCTTCGATAACAACCCGACCAACCGCGGCTCTCGCGATAAACTATAATTAAAAAGATGTTGCCTCGGCTTCGAGCCGAGGCCTAATTAAAAGGTAGCTCGGTTTACCGGCTTTGTGCGTTTTCGTCTTTATTTATTCCGAATCGAAGGTTGGAGGGAGGAAGCTGGGCCGGAAAAGAGTAGGAGGTTGCGATCACAAAGTTCCAACTAACTCGCCTCCCCTTTCCTCCATCTTTCCAGCGTTCGGTTATACAAGGATCGGATAGGAGGGTTGGCGTGAAACGAATGTCATTTTACAGAGAGCACGGAGGAGTGCTCAACCCCTCGCTATCGTTGTCATCGGGTTCACGAAACTAACTTTGCCCACGTCACCGCTCTCCCGCTGTCGGAACAACGCGCACACATCCCGCTTGATACCCGATGCTGCTTAGACATTCGCTACTCAAATATTCCTAGGATCCCTGGTTTGTGTGTTTGGCCTGTGTGTGCGAGTATTCACATGGATGACGCCGACGACGCCGCTAATACACGCGTTTACGTGCCTACACGCGGCCGGTGTACGAGCTTAAAGCCGCATTCTCACCGCGCGTCGGCATAAATTTCGCTCGTAAGTAAAAAATTTACCACCGATCGGTCGGGCATCGGTTGCCGATTTTATCAGATAATTAATAAAACCGCCCCCAATATTGATAGGATTCGAGTATATTAATTTAATAATCGTTTAATTATCCCGCATCGCATACACGATGTTATTAATCAATTATAGACCGTATGGTAATAATATTTTACCCGCGTATGTAATATTTTCAATATTAACGTTGAATCATGTATTCGTATTCGTATTTCCTTCGCCATTTTAAATATCCATTTTTCATCGAACGTCTCTCTTTAAAAATCAAATTGCTCGAGTTCAAACGAATAACTCGACTCTTACGAACAAGAGCAAGATCGAACTCAAGTTTCGAGCTATTTCATCGATGGTGAAGTTTCTCCCCGTCAGGCCTCCCCTTCCCTCCCCCCTATAAAATAAAATTTATTTGTCCTTTTCCATCTTTTTCCCTTTCGTTCTTGCCGTTATTTATATTATTTTGTCTCGTTGCCACGATACTAATCACGAGGCGAGAATCGAATCGAAATTCGCGATACCGTCGAAGAAGAGCGATGGCCCGTGCTTCGATTCGGCGCGTGCTAATGGCCTCCTTGCGGTCGAAGGGAAGTTTTAGCGTGAACACGGCATTAGTGCGCGGAGACTCGTATCGGATCTCGTACAGAAGGCACACAGATGGGAACGCGCACGCCGATACATCGGCATAACGCATTCTCCTGACTGCCAACCACCTCCTGCGGGTACAGAGAGCTTTTTAGCAAACTGTCAAACTCTGCCGAACCACGAATTACTCATTCCAGCACGTATCCGGATGTAGTCCCGCAGTGCGCGCACTATTCTGGATCAAAGACCCGGGGATATACCGGGGGACGAAAATTTGGAAATATCGATCTTGGTCAGCGACACGTTCGAGAATTGCCGAACCGCGCGGATGAACGAGTGAATGGGAGAAGATTGATTGACCGATAGATGAGACTAGGTTAGAATACCGATCGCGGGCCAATTTGCGTCCCAACTCGTGTTGGAATATGTTCGATTACTTAGTCTTTGGGATAGTGATTGGGAACTTGTGCCTCTTCATGAGAAAAAAGTTTTTCTCATGAACAGGATTTAATGATTAAATATGATATTAATAGCAATATAATATAATTTATATCGTTAATATATATCCTAGTTAATTGAAATTGCTTATAAGAAAACGAAAGAAATTGATCACACGATAATATAAGTTAAAAATAAAGAAGAAAGAAACAAAACTGACGAAAAAATTTACGAAATAATTTTTAACCTAATTGCAGATAAAGAACGATGAATTATACGAAAAATAGGTCTAATTTTATTTTCAAACAACTTGCTTTCACACTTGTAAAGAAATTATAATGCTAAATACATATCATATCTTATTATATCCATAACTATACAGAAATGTTATATATTGTTGTGAAACGTACTCACCATTCTGGACGTGTTTCTGGATATGATTCCAAAATGTTGCTGTTCCAACGATTTTGAAACTATACCGATAACTGCAACTCTGACATTTCCATTTACACAGAATGGAAAACAGTGCATATAAGATATATGTAGACCGTATGAAATAAATTATTGTTTTTGAGAAACTTCAAGAAATTCTTGAATACATTCGAGAATGTACTAACAAGAAACTATGATAAATTTTGAAAAGAGAATTTATCGCATACTTATTTCTAGTTCTATCATATATTTTGCTTGAAATAAACACTACACACGCGTAAAATAATGAAATAATAGAGAACAATCTTGTATAATGAAATATATCACAAAAATTATTATAGAACAATAAATAACTCTGTTTTTCGGCGCCATTATTCCGTTAGACAAAAATTGCGATAGTGGCGACACTCTACAATGAACAACGAAAACTTAATCGATATTAACAAATTATCATATTATAAATTATTATATTACATTAGATTATAAAATTAATAAAATATTTTCAGAATATTAAAAAAATTTTAACATTTATTTCATATTTAAACATTTCATTTTTAAATGTGAAATTTGCAATTTTGTTCATCCATCTTCATTGCATGATGTTATTCGTTGAGCTAATTTATTAAATGAAAAAAGTTCATATATTAAATTACAGACTAGATAATAATAGTCTTAGATAATTGATTATTCCACAGATTTATTGTTTTAAGATGTGTATCCTTCATTTGATTTACTATAATATTCATAATTCCTACCAGAATGAACGCCTAGATTCCCATCCAATGAACGCAAAATCAGAATCTGCATTCTGTTGGTAATGATGAGAGTGACATAAAAATGAAAATAGAATGAAAAAAAATTTTCAAGAATTTATACAAAAATATATTGTATAATTGGTCTATTCTTATATCTATTCTATGTTCCAAATTGTAAAACAAAAAAAAACATTTTGTATTATGTATATCGTTTATGAGTATATTAAATAATCTCATCTTTTGCGCGATCGGTATTTCAGATCACTTTTCATTGTTTATAGAAAACAAACATTGATGAAAAAAAATTATAATATAAGATTCTATAAGATTTAAAATTTATTTTTATTGTATTATAAAATTATATATTTCGTTTAAGATTAATACTGCTTAAATATCATGTCGATAAAGTAGATATAATAAATCAAATGTTTAACACTAAGTATTATTATTAGTATTATAATTATAAGTGTAAACTCTAAATTTTGTTTTCTAATTTTATAAATGAAATAAATACTTCTTTATATATTTTTTAATACTTTTTATCATTAAATTATACACATATTTATTACACATATATATTTAAATCCTATTTATCTTATCTTAGGTAGAATGAAAATAATAATTTTTATTGAAAATAATCCCACTAACATATAATAATATGTCAATAATATGAATATTGCAAACTCGATATAAACTTCTAAATATTATATTATTATATTTTTTTATAGGTTGTTAATTATTTCTCGAACATTTTTGAAAGATCGTTTTTAGAGAACATAAAATACAAAAATATTGAAACTTATTTATTACATTATAAATATTTGAAATTTGTATCACTCACAATGAAACCGCTTTGTCTTTATTATAATATTGCACTTTATTTTCGCCTTGTTTTATCTAATACAAAGTTAAATTTCTTATAATTTAATAAATAATTAATATTTACATATATTAATTTTTACGAATTTTTTTTTTTTTTTTTGTTTTACATCTAGAATTGAATTCCTAAAAGTATTTCACAAATATTAACATATTGTGTATAAAGAATTTCATATTGTATATTCAAGAATTTTATATAGTATATAGAAATGAAATTAATTAAAGAAAAAAGTAATGCTTTATTTTTCATCAATGTAAATTAATGATATAAAATTTTGAAATAACATTCTAAAAAATATATAATATTATGTATTATATAATTTCATAATTATATCTTGTATTATGCATTGTAACATATAAAATGCGAATATATATTTATTATATATTCAAAATTATGTCATATAATTTCTAAAATTTTTTATTTTCCTATTTAAGATATCATTTATTATGTTTTTAAGAAATAAAATTTCTAGGAACATTTGATTGTATAACTTTAGTAAAATTCATTTTAACATTGAGTATAGATCCGATAAGGAGCTACCTCGCTTCTCATGATATGACCTCTACTCTTTTATATATGAAGATGAAAGCTCTAATCAGTAATACATTGTCAACTTTACTGAAATCGCAGAATTTTTATGTATAATTAACTTTGTGAACGATATTAATTTATATCTTCAAATTGAAGCATTATCTGATTATTATTTGTTCAATTGTGAAAGACGCACATATTTTAAAACGTATATTTATATATTGAATATTTTTTTATACGTATATATTTATAAAAATTTAAGGTCATTTTATTTTGGTGTATGATTCAAATAAACTTCAACTTAACACGTCAACCATAAATTTAAAAAATTTTTACTTTTTATTCTTAAATAATCATGTTTACAAATAATAAAATTGTTCATGTATCAATTTTAGAAATAATTAAATTACATTTTCTCTCTTTTGTATATGGATTGTATTTAATAGTGAAAAGATTTCTTAAATGGATCTGGAATCCTAAAAAGTTTTTCATGATGCAACAGCGAGATAAACCCCCACCTTGTTTGATAGATAATAACTTAGGAATTCATTCTTATATAAAAATCAAGGTACGTATATAAAATAATTCAATAATATAACATGAAATTTCAAATTTAAAAGTATTTAAAAAATATACAATAATCATCGATTTCTAATACTTTTTAAGAATTTAATAATCTGATACATACATTAGATTTCGATCGTGATTATGACATCTTTTAATAAATATTGAAAATAATTATGTTAATTGTTCTTAAATTTGAAGAAGAATTCAATTTGTATGTTTTTATTATCATTTAATATCACTTTTATTATAAATTTTTTTATTATTCACACTTATTAATATAAATTTAAAATTTATTCGAAAAATTAAATTTAATAAATAAAATTTAATTTAATAGTATTTAAGATATTATTGTATAATGATTGAATAATAAAATAATATAATAGAAAAAAAATTTTTTATAATTTAAAAAATTTTTATTTTTTTCTATAGAATGTAAAATTTCATTATGTAGAAGCTGGAAATAAAAATGAATCACTTATATTACTTTTACATGGATTTCCTGACTTTTGGTTATCTTGGAGAAAACAAATACCATGTCTTGCTAAACATTATAGGTATAATTCATATTTTTCAATATTTTTAACAAAATTATAAAATTATTTTTGTATAGATTTCTTTTTTTTTTTATTTATTCAGAGTAATTGCAATAGATTTAAAAGGATTTGGAGACAGTGATAAACCAGCAGCTAAAAGTTGTTATAAAATTCAAGTCTTAATTGAAGAATTAAAACAAATTATTTTAACTTTTGGAGTAAAACAATGTAGTATAATTGGTCATGATTTAGGAGGACTTTTAGGATGGTATATAATAGCCTTATATGGAGATATGATTGATAAATTTGTTGCAGTTTCATGTCCACATCCTAATTTTTATTGGAATAGAAGACTAGGAGATTCTATTTTTGATTTGAAGTAAATTTATTAGATGCTTAAGCTTTTTAGAAAATAATATATATATATATATATATAATAAATATATTTATTTATATTATTATATTATTGTCTAGATGGATACATTTTAGTAGATTACCATTTTTTCCTGAGATTGATGCTCTTAAAGAAGATTTATCAATTATAAATGATGCATTTCAACATCTTCAATTAAATAATACAAATACTGAGAAAGATTATGTAGAAGCATACAAATATGCATTTAGTAGAAAAGGTGAATAAACATTGAAAGTTTGACACTAATCTATTATTTATATATATATAATTTAATTTAATATATATATAATTGTATGCATTGTATATAATATATATGCATAAAAGATAAGATTAAAATAATTAATTACAGAGGATTGGACTGGGGCTATTAATTATTATAGAAATCTTCCTTTTATAAAACTTAATACAGATTCTTGTGATCAAATTTCTACTCAAACTTTGCTTATAATTGGAAATATAGATCCAATTGTAACAATAGAAAATATTGTACAAAGTTCTGAATATATTGAAAAATGTAATGTAAAAGTAATATCAGGAGCACAACATTTTCCACATCAACAAAAGCCAGATATAGTAAATGAAGCAATTTTAAAATTTTTTATGGTAAGCAATTTAATAAATATTTATATATACTATATTATATAATAACTAGATGTATTTTAGGAACAACAACTCATATAGAAAAAGCATCATCTAAGAATATTATGTCTTCATGGCTTGAACCTTTTAGTAAAACTGTCAAGTATGGTAATCATATGTTTGATGCTGTTCATAAAAAAACTAATGATGTAGTTAGTGTTTTACCAAGTAAAATACTTTATTTAGGTCAAACTACAAATTAAATTATATTTTTTTATTTTCATCAAAATATAAAACCCACCAAAATTTCAAATTCTTTTTCTTTTTTTATATTTTATATTATACATATATATATATATTATATTTATATTTTTCAAAAAAATAATATTTAATTATTTTTCATTAAAACAAATCTAATTTTTTATTACTGAAAAGAAGACAATTTAATTTAATTAATAAAATATTTGTGTAATTGACTACAAAGTACTCTAATGAACGAATTTTATTTTAATGAAAGTTTGAATACATAAATATAAAAAAGACTGACTTATTATAGTTATGTCTCTTATCAATATCTAATATTATTTTTATATATGTACATTTTATAAATAAAAATTTTAGACAAAATTTATTTTTTTAATAAATAAATGTATATATATTGTTTATTTAATATTAAAATATATATATTTTAAATATAATATTAAATAAAATAAAGATCTCTCTTTCTAAAATAAAGCAAATACTATATTATAAAGCTAATATAAAAAAATAAAACATGTATTTAAATTCATACAATAGTTTTTATTATGCTAATAAAAATTTTGTTAACAATATTTATTATATTAATATATAATATTATATATGTGTATTTATTGAATTAATAGAATGTAAAAATAAATTATATAAAAATATTATATATTTATTATAATTACAAACATATTATTTTTTAAATATTAAATTTATTATTATTTAAAATATAATCTTTTAATATTATATTAAAAACGATTAAATGATTTAAATATTTTATATACATATGTATATCAAAAAATTTTTGTTTTACGATATAATTGTTTACGATCATATCAATTACAAATCAGGATTTGTTTCGTTATTCTATTGCTTTTTTTTTGAGTTTTAAATAAATATTATTTTATTGCATTTTTTCCACTTCGTTTCCTATGAAGACCGATAATTATATTGTTATTTAAAAAAATAGAGGAATAAGATAATAATTAAAATCGTATTACTATACTAACTTTCCAAAATTTTCACTGTCTTCAATAGTTTCTGGCAATTCACAATTCATTGTTTCTGGTAAAAAGAAACATAAAAAAGCACCAAATAATAATCCACTTCCAAATATTAATGGTGGTAACCAAGGTTTAATTTTTCCCTAAAAATATGTAATTCGCAATATAAAATTATTATATTATACACATAAATTATATGTAAATACAAATTTTAATATATTAGACGAAAAAAATATAACCATTGTAGCGATATATGGTGCAATCATGCTTCCAGTCCTTGCACAAACACTTCCTAGACCAATACCAATATTTCTGATTACAGTTGGAAATACTTCACTACTATATAAATATACAGTTGGAAAACTGAGTGACATCCCCGCAAGGCCTAATATAGTTAAAAATATTGTAAAACGTGAATTTGACATCACAATTAACAAAAGCAAACTTGCAGCAGATAGAAGATTTGCACTTATTAAAATTTTTAAACGTGATACACGTGATATTAGAAACAACACTAATATAGTTCCAGGTAATTCAATAGCAGCTGAAAATAATAAATCAAATTTTAAATACATATTCTCTCTTTTTTAAATAAAAATGCATATTATATAAATTTACCTGATACAGCAACATTTATAAAAATATTACCATCAATATAACCCATATATTGTGCTAATCCAAAGAAACAATTACCACACATAAACCAATTAATACATATAAAAATAGTTTTTAATCTTAAATTTGGAGTTCTAAATAAATGTGTAATATTATATTTTTCTTCATTTTGTTTATAGCGAATTCCTATATTACATTCATATGTTTCAATTGCTGTTTTAACATTCTCTATTGGTATTTTATTTCTACCAGCTGCTTTAATTAAAATTTGTTCTGCTTTTGATAATTTGCCAACAGCAAATAACCATCTTGGTGATTCAGGTATAATCCTACAATATAGAAAAATCTATCTAAAATTTATTTCAGTTTAATTAAAAATAAATGTATTAAAAAAGTTTATAAGTTAATAATTTGATTATATAAATGATATCACATACCAATAATATGATAATAAAAAAAGTGATGGTATAGAAACTGCCATTTGAAAACCATCCCATGTACGTGTTAAATATGAAATTAAAGGATTCATTAAATGACCCAATAAAAATGGTACATGAAAGAGAACTGACATAATGGAACGCCATTCTATTCCTACAATCTCCATGACTGTAATTTATTAAATAAATTTATATATTATTTTCTATTATTTATTTAATTTATCAATTACTTACGTAAAACAAAACTGACAAGCATAGTACCACCTGTAGCTATTGCAGAAATGAATTTAAATATCACAAATAATTCAAACCATGGAATAAATGCACTTATAAATCCTGTTAATGATTGTAATCCTATAGCAATCATAAGAGGTTTTTTTCTACCTATCCTGAAAATAGAAAATAGAAAAACTTCAGTTAATTGATTTTTTCAATTATATATACATATCATAAATTTTTTTTTTGTTCATTTTATTATAATAATATTTAACATACCGATCAGCCATTATACTAAAGACTAAATTACCAATAAGTACTCCAAACATTATACAAGACTGTACAACATTTGTCAATTGTTCTCTATCACAGACTAAATCCCACTAAAAATTTATAATATAAGTAATAATTCATTTGTTTAAAATATAATGAATTAATTAAATTTACTTGAGTTATAATGCTCTCTTTAAATATACGCTTGTCATATTTAAAAGTTGTACATTTTTCCATAGTACCATTTCCTACATCTACGTAACATTTCATTATTGTAGATTCATTGGTTTTTGATATTGGTGCAGCACATGAAAAATTAGTTGGAGGTGCAAGAAATAGAATAGAAAGTTGATGCCAAGCAACCGGAAATTTTACTAGAGACAATGCCACAGCAATAACAATATGCCATGGGCCCATCACACCCATTGCATTTTGTATTACATCTAGTGATGCATGTTCTGAAAAAAATTATTCTTAATTAAATATTTACACATTACAATTATCTTAATATAAAACATATTTATTATTTTAGTAACAATGATATTAAAAAATATTATGATAAAAATAATTAAATTGAATATATTATTATCATTTATAATTTAGCGCCAATGATTACTTTATTATCGACAGATGGAAAAGATTTCTATATTATTAATATTATTTTTGTATTTTTAATTTAAAAAAAATGTTTTATGAAATATTATTTTTTTTATTAAAAAATATAATTTGTATTATGAAATTATATTAATGAAAAATTAATGTCATCTAACATATAATAATATATAATACGAAAATTATTATATATATATCAAATTATAAACTTAAATTCCATTATTCTATTTATCAATATTATTAAAAAATCATTATTCGATGAATAAATATTATCTTTCATAACTGAATAATTACATACAATTTTCAAGTAAATGATACTTTTATATGATATATATATTACTCAAATTACCGTAATGTAATCATACAATCCTAAACAGATTTATATGAATTAATAAAATGTTTAGAAAGAAAAAAAATATATATGCATTTTTCTATATTGTATTATTATTATTATAAGTAATTTTAAGTAAATGATTTTAAACAATTTAGAATTATATAAAAAATATATTATTTTTATATATGTTTATATGTATATTTAATTATCTTAATTAATTTAAAAATTTAGATAATTAATAGATTAATAGATCATAAATAAATCATTTATAATTACAAAATTTTATGATATAATTACATATATATATTTTCCGAGAAAGATATAAATTATTAAATACATAATTTTCTGTAAAAATACTAAATAAATATAAACATATAAAACTAAAAATATCATCAATGATCAAATTTAAAAAAATAACATAAAAATCAAAAACTTAATGTGCTAAAATAAAAAAATTTTTTAATTATATGCAAAACAAATTTTTTTCTTAATTTATTATATTTTATAAAATAAAAAATATATAATTTATATATATAAAAAAATAAATTATATTACAATTGTAAATGTATTATAGAAATAATAATTTACCAAAATTTAAAATAAATGTATTAAAAAATATTATTTTAATTTTAAAACATATTTAATTATAATTTATTATTGATCATTATATGATATTAATTTATTACTTAAATTATTACTTTGATGAGTTTAAATAATGTACGTACTTTTCGAAAATAAGTAATTATTTAATGTATATGTAAAAATTGTTTCTTGTGTAAAAATTTTACTAAAAACATTTTAACTGATTTTTTAATTTTTTAGATTTAGCATATATAATAAATTTCAATTGTTTTCACGTTCTTTTGATGATGCAATTAAAGATGCGCGAATTATACCACAAATTGAATGTATATTTAGATTGAGTCGTATTTGAAATACTAACATGAATAAATGTAGAACGATGCCAGATATAATATATCGACTTACCTTTCATCGCTTTTTCGAGCATCGTATTTAAAAACTTTTGTTGAAAAATTTTATTTTCGTCTATGAAATTTCTAATGCTGCACAATATTGCGCGTGCACGAATGTTTGAAAGTCTCAATTTCTGTTGAAAGACTTGAGCAAACTGCAAAGATCTCCAATATTCTTTATCTGTTTTATCGATGTAGATCATAAATGAAATTTTGCTTGTGATATAATTAAGAAATATCTACCTTATCGATATTTATTTATTTTATAATGTATAATGATGCGATAATATTTTGTTAATTGTTTACAGTTTACAGGGCTATATTATTTGTATTTTTCTGCCTATTATCTTTGAACAATTTAGAAGAAAATATTTATATATATATATTTATCACAAAATAAATATATATAAATAGATATATATTATAAATAAATATGTAATTAAATATATATTTATACTTAGATTTAATTCCAAAAATTAATGAGAATAATTGAGTTTGTAAAGCATAAATTAACAAATTAATAAACAAATTTATAATAAAACAGGATATTTTAATTGTTTTAATATAATAAAAATAATTATAATATAAATTATAATTATTTTTATATTTTTAT